CAAAGATAATTCCTTGCCTTTACTTAGTTGGATACTAAGGGATCTCGTTAGTGCTTTACTTGAGCTTCATCCACCACTGAAGTATAGCACGTAGCTGGCTAATGGATACTGTACATAGCTTCACTACACAGCAAACCAGGTAGAGGTTAGAGGTCTCCCATCCCAGTACTGACCAGATTCGGCCTTGCTGACCTTCCAAGATCTGCTGTTACAAGGTTCTAACACTGGTGTCACATACTAGAATAGGCCACTTCAGTAAAAGTGCCAGTCTCAACTTTTACAAAAGACTTGCCTTCTTGTTAATTGCCAGTTCTTACGAGTTTATATTTCTCTTCTAAAAAGAGAATATCATTTTAGTCAACTTTACTGCAAGAGTCTTCAGACCTAGGCTTATCATACTTATATTTCCAGAAATGTCCCAAGTGATTTTTTTTTTCTTGTGACAGGGTTAACAGCTGACATCTGACATTCTTGAATATCAGCATCATGCGGGTATAATTTATGAAGGCTCTTTGATGGGGGGGGGGAGATTTTGAGAAATGTTTGCGACTGTGATTATTTACCATTAGCCAATGATTTGAAAAATGCAGTGTCAATTTTGGATTTGTTGCGGAAGGGGAAAAAAACTTCTTTGATTTCAGCATGTTTTCCTCCTTTATGATGGGTGTGATTTTTGGTCTGCTCCCCTGATGGCGCTGTGCTGGGCTGTGTGTAAAAGATATTGTGTACCACGCCGGTGGCCAATGGCAGCGCGTGCTGTGTAGATTGCGCTTAAAAGGGGGGGGGCTTTATTTTCCATTTCTGCCTGCCACTCACCTGTCACAAGCGTTACATTTATCCAGAGAGATCACATTTGGGCAGCACAGGGCTTTACCACTAAGTGCTGAGAATCGCTGGGATAATTACAAAGCAATACACATTCATACACTCATTGGTTCATTCACAGAGGGTTTTTGGCAGCTTTCTGAAAATTGCTGGCCATTTAGCCTGTGGGTAGCCATCTATTTTAATGCATTAACTTTATATTAACAGCGGTACCGAATTTAATGTTGGAAATCGTGGCTAATCAAAGTGCGTCGGCTGCTTAAATCGCTGTAGAAGTACTCATTGTGCACCAGGAACTTGACAGTTGTCTTCCATTGTGCGCAGTTCTGCACAACGCCAGAGAGGGCACTGTTTCAAAGACTGGACATGAACATTGAGATTGGACGCCAGGCCACCATTAAAATGTCATGACTCAGTCACTGTGAGGCTGCAGAGGTAGCTGTGTGCACAGTGATGGGATTTTGTTCCTGTTGTTAAAGATGAACAGTAGAGAAAAGAAGATGACTTCAGTGGTGTGCACCAATTAAATACGGTATGCATAGGGTGAATGTGAGAAGAAATGGTCAAGTGCCAGGAGATTCAATTGCCCATTTAATTTTGTAAAGGAGAAACCCTCTTTCTTTCAAAATCACATCTAGCGCTCTTGTTACATCCGATCTGAGCGATGGAAAGCTTGAGTTCAGACTGGGCTAGAGCATCTTCGTGCTCCGCTTTTTACTTCTCTAACATCGCCTTCAAACATGGCTGCAACACATTCCCTGCTAATGACATGGAATGAAATTGAAATTGAAGCCATGCGCAGGCAGGGCCTGGCCGCACCTCCCACACTGGGCTGCTCTCCCTGCCCAATGTGCCTGGCAGGGGCCTCTCAGCAGCAGGGCTGGGGGCCCCGGCGGAGGCTTTGCTGAGCAGAAGCACCCTGGCGGGTTTTGTCTTGGTTCCCAACATGCCTTTTTCATTAAGCTGCCGAATTCCTGTGCACTATTTGGACATGATTTATCAGCGCGGGGCTTCAGGATCATAGAAAACAGACACGGGGAATATAGGGTTTGTCTCGTTCACTTATTTCTTTTTAAGTTGCAAGTCCTAAGGTGATTTTTTTTTCAGGAAATAAGGCACGGTACAGTCATTTATCTGAGCCCTTTAGAAGTAGGGCTCAGACCTAAAGTATGTCGACCATACTTCAGGGAATCCGAGGTCTGTCTGTCTTTCCCGTTAGCTGTTTCCCACTGTGCCCTCTTTAGTCACGCTTCACATTTTGGTGGCCATCTTGAGTGCTTTTTTGTCCTTTACTTCAGATCACATGTGATTTTTCCTGAACAGCTTTAGCTTTGCTGTCTGGGCCGAGATGAACAAGTAGGTCGAAAAAGCGATTGAACCTGGGCTGTCAAGGAATGTCTTCAGTGGCTTCCGTCCAGAGCCGGAAAAAAATGTTCATGTCCGTCCTGTTGCTTCATGCTTCTGACTCGATAGCAGTGCCAGGATCCAGCTTCCTGTTCTTTGCTTACTCCCCCAGCAACATTCTTCTTGGTAGTTTCCCGGCAGCAGGCTGGTAAAGGATTGGATTTGTCAGTGGGTTGTGTGTGTGTGGGGGGGGGGGGGGGGGCTCATTGTGGTTTCCCAGTGCAGACACTTGACCCACAGACAGGGAACTCTTAATGGTTCATTTCGAATGGATTAGTCCGATTAGCACTTGGCTGGCTTTCAAAGTGAAGGGATGCAGCCGGAGCCCACAGACCCAGGCAGAGGGCTGGGGAGAGGGAGGGAGACGGAGGGCTTCTTCTGCCTCGCCTGCCTGCCGCAGCTCTGCAGGGAGATGAGGATGCTGCCCTGACACGCAGATTTATTCTGGGCTATGGCTGAGTCCAGGCCGGCCGCCTAAGTTCCAGCTCTACTCGAGTCCTGCATGTGTGCAAGGTGTCTTCAGATCGCTTCCGTTGGGCACGACTGTGAGGGCTGAGATTTTTCTGGAAGCACGTGAAATCTTGTGCTTGAGTGGCCCCCACTCCATTGTCTTCAGAAGAGGAAGAGCACATGGTTCAAAATTTTATATTGTGGGGTAATTTGTTCACAATTCATTTCAGATTAGATCTCCTTTCTAGACATTCAGATTCACCCATTTTTTTCTGAGCATTTGTGGTTTAAATTGCCTGTTTTAGCTATCCTGAAGAACTGGCCTTGAATGAAGAAACTTCCAGGATGACAATTATTGTATGGTGTGGCTTATGCTTGTCACTTATATACACATTTGGCTATCTAGTCATGTAATGCATAAGTCTTACCCTTTCTATCTCACGGTTTGATGTTCGTGATTTGTGATCCATTGTGTGAAGAGAGGATGACTGTAACTCGCACATAGGATATTTCCAGCAGCACCTATTCAATTACATCACGCAGCGTCGAATATGAAAAAAAGCACATGCAGAAAGGCAGACCCTTTTAAAATCACCTTATAACTCTATTAGGTAGAGCTTTGGGGCTTGCAAAACTCTGGTTCCTGGAACCAGAATCCTAATGTACGTTTTAGGTGTTGCTGAAAAGCAATGGGAAATGTGATACTGCAGCGAATGAAACACATTTGCGCCGAAAAACCCATAGCAAGATTACGAGAAAATTAAATATCAGAAGAAAAGGAGCAGAGCATTTCAGGGAATAGAAAGGTTTTTGCTATCTACACCTGATGCAGATTTAATTTGGTTAAAAATATAATGTTTCCAGTGCTTTTGCATTTGAGATCAATTTTGGCACATTGGCACCTCAGAATTCAGGGCAGTTTATTCAGGCCTGTCTTAATGGAACAATTTGTTTTTCCAGACCTGTATCAGGCGTGGGGGGTGGGAGGGTGGGGTGCTAACTTTGGAAAATTAAATCAGAAGGCTGTTTGGTGGCAAAAGCATTTTGTGCTGAAAATATTTTGTGCTGATTTAAAGATGGAGACCTTTCCTGCCATTTGTATTTTTATGACCGATTTGCCACAGATTTATAATGTCCCTAGTAAGTCCCCACTACATTTGAGTACAGCAACACATCTCCCAAATTCCATTTATTTTCAGCCGTCCATGCATCAGATTGACAATCCACTACTGCCACCTTGGAGTTTGGACTGATTTCAATCCAATCAAGCCATCCTGGGACATTCTAAAGCACATTCTGAGGGTTGGAATCACCGGAGGGCTGTAGAAGGTGGAATGATCATACTTCCTTAAGTGGAGGTCTTCAACAGTCCTGCTTGTAATAGTTTGCTGTGGCACAATAAACGTAATTTATACAGAAACGTGGCAAGTTAACACTAGAGAATTGCTTATTAAAGGGATGACAAATGATTATACTGTGGAGTCTGAAAACTGGGTCAAATTGTAAATCTGAGTTATACCTAGTGAAACCAATTCTAAAAGTCACTATCTGTGGCATGAGGTGACAGTTTCCTTTCCCTCTGTCGTCGCCTACTTTGAATCTGGGCCTCCTCTCGGTGTGGCTGTTTGGGAATGTGCTGGATTGTCTCAGAATGTAGTTTTCACTGCCACTCGCTTGGAAAGGAAAGATTTGACTGACCCAGATCAATATATCGCATCCCATGCGTGAAACTGGCAGATGTTTGGAGTTTCCTTTTCAGCGCAGGAGAAAAAGACAAGGGGCTTCTAGGGAGTAAAACAATCGATGTTCCCTTCTGTCAGGGGTTGAATGGCTTCTGTCTCATCTGGGATGCTGGACCATGTGACCCGCCAAGCCTCTGGGCCCCCAGAGGGCCTCACTTTGTAGCATGTCCCTTCAGTCACTGACAGTCAGCAGTTTAGTCTCAGTAATAAAGGGGAAAATATGCTGGGGCAGGTGGGTATTTTCCCTGCCTTCTTAGTTAGGAATTGCAGCCTGATCTGAATGGGCAGCGTTTGGCGCCATTAAGGCGAAAAGCGATGTTTTCAAAAGTAGTATCAAACACAGCCATGAATGAGTTCGCAAATACCTTTCAAAGCTTACCGTGTTTACTAAGCCTGCTCTCAGCTCGCCATACTGCTCCGTTCCCACTCTGGTTTCCAGGTCAGATGTCAAAGGCTGTGGTTTCTCCAGAGAGAAAATTGCTGTTCTTAAAGGTGCCCCCGTGAGGGGTCCGGACTGTAGGGCATAAGGGCGCACCCCTCATACGATGTCCCCCCTTCTCGCCCCCCCCCCCCCCGCAGCACCTGCAGCAGCACGAGCACGCGGTGGAAGGGGACGCCTGCTACTACCACTGCGCCCTCTGCAACTACTCCACCAAGGCCAAGCTCAACCTCATCCAGCACGTGCGCTCCATGAAGCACCAGCGCAGCGAGAGCCTGCGCAAGCTGCAGAGGCTGCAGAAGGGGCTGCCCGAGGAGGAGGAGGAGCTGGGCGCCATCTTCACCATCCGCAAGTGCCCGTCGGCCGACACCGGTAAGCCCCCCGCCGCTCGGCGCCGCGCGGGGAACCCGCTCACCCGCACACTGAGCTCACCAATAGTACGGTATTGATTCCGTCTTATTCCAAATTGCTTGCGTAATTTTTTACGCATCTTTACGGTACAAGTATAGAAAATGCACATCGTTGAGTCATTAAGCTTTTCACACCTCTGATCTCAAGCATGCTCTTGTGATAGCCTCTTGAGTACCACAGGAGTAATGCACTGATCACCAGCAGCCTGGAGTTCTTCTGCTTCCACTGGCCCTGGCCTTTAGTGAGCGAAGATGCTGCTTGCCAAGTCACGGGCCGCATTTCTCATTTTTCCAGGGCTGGACTCATTTTTATGCATCTCTTTAACTCCTTTCCTTCATAGGCGTCTTTTTTTTAATCTTGGAGAGTTTGTCGTGCTCAGGAGAGGTAAGTGACCGTGCTAATGGCCATCGCCAGGCACTTTGCCAGCAGACTCCATGACCAAGCCAACACAGACGTGTTTTGTACACATTCCTGGTTCACTTCATGTAAAGGATCAGGAAAACTTGCCGAAAACTTGATTTCAATGCGCTGCAGCAAATGCAGGTTACTTACAGTACATCCGAAAAGTGTTTCTTCCCGCTTTGTAAATATCTTTAAGCAACCTTAAATATGTAAGACTCTCGGAGGCTTCATGATAAGGAAAATAAACTGTTTATAGTACCGTGTACTACTTTTTCATAAAAAACACATTTATTTTGCTGAGGGCCATTTCTTAAAAAGCAGAAAGCAGACATATGTAGACGAACAAAATGCTAATTACCCAACCCAGCCATTTCCGGAGTGTTTTTTTTTTTGTTCCCTGAGAAATTAGAAATTTATTCGGCTTCTCTTGGCGGCAGAAGAGTTTTCCACATCACAGCTGAGCACAGCCATGTCTTATCTTTCCTTCCTTTCTCACTGTGCTCTCGCACTGAACAAACAGTTTTCAGCTGCACTCGCTCCCTGACGTTGACATGCTGTGTAAACCCCAAGAAGAAACACTTGCTTTTTTTGTTCTGGAGTTAAAAATTCCAGAGCTCTGTTTTTGTTCTTTGTTGGGTTTTCCGGCCAGTCACGCAGGCAGCCAGACGTTCTGATGATTGACAAGTGCTCGTTGTCATGTTATGTCACCTGACCCCCCGGTCACCTGACAAACCGCCCAGGCATCTGAGCCCTGGAGGTTTGGGGTGCTTCTGGGCAGTGTCTGTCCTGGGGTTCCTCAAGTGTTTGTTCAATAGAGGCAGCTCTTCCCACACTGCAGGAATGCCAGAACCCTCACAGAGGTCCCTGTGAGTCAGCAGGACCAGCAACCCTGAACCACAGGGATGTCTGCCAGTGACCCGATCGTCTGTCTCGCCCCATATATCATGTAGAGGAAATTTTAAATGAAATATAGCCACTGTTCACTGTGTGGCCAACACTAAAGCATCTAAACAGTGTCTCATCTCATCCTGATAAACATGCAGCAATAAAGGGCTCTTATTTGTTTCTAAAGCATTGTTAAATATAAACTGACTCTTTACTGTCGGTAAAGGAATAGGTCACCATATTTAAGAGTAGAAGTGCTTGATTGCATCTGGTAAAGCAATCCATATTAAAATAAACCACATGCTTTCAAAGTTAATGGTGGAAGGAAGAGATCCTCGCTTCTTCTGAAGCATGAGTAAATGCTTTGTGAAATACATCTGTGATCATCCTTAAGCTTTCCTTTTACAAACAGTGAAACTGCAAATGCTTAAGCAGGTGGGCTGAGGCCAACGTTTTGAGACTCCCAGTTAGCAATAAACTGTGATCAGGGGGTTAAAGGGGAGTCCTCCCACCTTTTATCTCAGAGTTTTTTTAAACTCTGCGTCCAAACCCCGATTAACAGTGGGGAGGAAGGCTATGAGAGATGCATTCCGAGGCAACATTTCTTCTTCAGATGGAAAAACAAAGGAGCGCACATCGTTTGCTAAAAGACTGATTAAAGGAGTGAGCCGCGGTCAATTAACACTTTGTCTTTTCTTGGATTTCATTTTCTAATTACTTTGACTTCTGCCCCCTGACTCTGCACCCTGACAAAGGGCCGGCATTGTGCGGCCTCTCCGAGCCAGCAGTGCCCTGCTCACACAGGCTCCCTGTGTTATGTAAAAACAGCCTCTAAAGACGCTTTGTTCCAAGGAGGCAGGGATAATGAAGCCAGCGGCTGGGAAATTACGCAAAAGCCAGTCACAGATCTGAGGCAAATCATTAGAGAATGTATTTAGCCTAGCAATTAAGGACAATTAAGCTTTCTGCTTGCTGCACTCCAAATATGTTAATGACTATAGTACAGTGGACAAGCAAGCGAGCAGAGGCAAAAAGGCGGGCCTGCTTGGGTTAAAGGGGAAGAAAGAACAGCAGTATGAGGTTTACAAAAGACCTTTTTTCACTTTTGTGTTGTTGATTCATTTCATTTCTTTCCCTCATAAGCTTTGAAGTGCCTTAATGGATGTCTATGTTTGCAAACAGTACCAGAGCAAGGCTACTTGTCAAGTCAAGGTTGCAGGTTAAGTAATGAAGTTGAACTCCTGCAGAGGGGAATGTGTGGGCTGCACTGGATAAGAGTGGCTGTGTGTTTTAAAGGTATTTTGCTGGTGTTTACATAGAAGTAATCTAAAGATGAATTATCAGAAAAATGACCATCATTATTTTCATTTATAGATCCATAAAATATAACGATATAAACACAAGGAGACAGACATGGATAATTGATTTTTTTTTTTATATATAGCCAGAATTGCCGTATTTACAGTGTTGGCCATGGCTGATGATCTCTGCATTAGGGGGTTTCCTGTAATGCTTTTATCGCTAAAATTTAATTTGATGTGATTTGATATCTTTATGATGAAATGTAAAGTCTATAATTTAACTTCTCCCGGTACTTTACCTCAAGGCGAAGGATTGGGAACCCAGAACAGGGAACTTTAGGACTCAGGCTATGTTGTAGTAACGTGGAAAGCCCCAGTGTGTACAGAGCCTTCTCCTGCACTGCTCTTATCCACACTTTTTCCAATCTATTCCATATTAACAATATGAATTTTTCAAGCTTGCAAGCCTCCTGCTGCACTGTAGGTACGCTAACCTTTAAAATGAGCAGTTACCCTAATAGCCCTTGACAATTTGTTTACCATACAGGACGGCTGTCTTTTTTGGCAACTCCAAATGACTGATTGATGGCACGACAGACACAAGCGAGAACACACAGAGAAATCCATATCGCCAAAACAGACTGGGCACGAACCAAAAACCGCTTGAAAACAAGCCACATCTCATTTAGGAAGGGGGATTTTTCTTTTAAAGGTCCGTTAAATGAAATGAAGTGTGTAATAAAGAATGTCGGCCTTTCTTTCTGTTCAAGCATCTTGATTGAATTACGCTGATAATGAACATACTTCTTCATCAGCAAGCAAGAACACTGAAAACTCTTAACCCCCCATTCCCCCCCCTCTGCTGCCCCCCAACTCCTTCTAATGGCTGGTTCCACCCCCAGTGTTTGACCCCCCCCCCACCAACAGCTGAAACATTCCCTCCTGGTGTAATATTTAATTTCCTCCCTGCTATTCCTTCAGAGGCGCTCAGTCCTTTCTTGTGGTGGAGGCACAGTTGCTAAAGTGGTAAAAGGTTCCCCTGCTTGTTAAAACAAAGCTGGCCCTGGATTTCTGGGTCAGCTCAGCAGTAATTCCCGAGGCTGCTGCTGTTACTGCTGCTGAATTGGAGCAAGGTGCTGGGCTGCTTCCACGTCTGCGAGTCAGGCGATCTCATTCTGTCCCCCACGCTCTGCTTAATAAGATAAGATCATAAAAAGCAGGCACCCCCAGCCATTCCTCAGTTAAATGATAACTCAGTCCAGCCCCTCATTTTTTAAGTATAGGAACTCGTTGCAAAAAAAAAACAAGGATGGTTATGCACGCTAGAGATGTCAGTTGTATTCTAAAATCAGTCATATTTTCTTAATTAGAAGCAAAAGGCATTAGGGTTGTGGATGAGTACATGCAAAGGGGGAAGAACAGAATACTGGCATTACTTTTATCACGTCTGTAAGCATGTGTTTCAAATGCGTTTCTTTACAAAACAATTAGTGTAGTGCAGAGTTTTAAAATATAAATTACAACACACATTAATGCACATTAACCAACACGCAGAGCACTTTAAAAGCATCACATTAAATCTATATACCACGAGGGGAGGGCTGTAGTGTAGGTTCGGAAAGGAGGTTTAAAACTGTCAGATGCCATTTGGTAGTAAATTGTAAGGTTTGGCTCTAAGAATCATCTCTTAGGGAGTCGGGCAGGTGCTGCATTTGCAGTTTAGGCTTGTCTTTAAGTATTTCTTTGTAGTGTGAGTTACCTTCATGCAACTATAAAATAAAAGGTATTTTTAGCTCTCCATCACTTACGGTTTGCAACAATCAGTTGTAAAGTAAGAAGCAGCTTACTGATATCCATCAGAAAAGCAACATCCAGTCAAGCTATTGTAACATTATACCAGCACATCACATGCACAGTGCTTAGGATTATTCTTCCCGTATGCAGTAGATTTCTTAGTAAGGCCACTGTGTTGCACATATTGGCTGTGTTCACATGCAGGCTGTGTGGAGGGACAGTGCGAGGGGGAGAAGGTCCAGCCAGGTCTGGGAGCACAAAGCCAGGCTGTGTGAAAAGGGCTTTGTTGAGAGTGGAAGGCCAGAGAGCAGCACTGGCTGGGTTTGATGCCACATGTCTTTCCCCACGCTCCTCTCCCCTCCCTGGCTCCCTGGGAGCACCAAGACAGCAGCGATGAATTTCCCATCCAATTAGACCAACGCAGGGATAAAAAGGCACGCATTGTTTTAATTCCTGACCCCCCCCCCTCCCCCCACCTCAAATGTGCTGCTTAAGCATGTTTTTTTAACTTGAGTTTTTCTCCCTGATACCCTTCACAAATAAAATAGGAGGTTTCTCGTGACACCAGGGTTCAGCATT